CACTCCTCTGAGTGACAATTTAATATTTATAAAGGACATTTTAAAAAATAGGATTTTTATATTTTAAAAAGAGATAGTAGTTGAAAAGAAACATTTAGGACAGTTCATTRTGTTCTAATACATGATATTTAGGTCAGTTTTACATTGAACTACTTGTTGAAGCTAAAATCCCGCAACTTCTCGCGATATTTGACTCCTTCGCCCTGACGTTTAGCTGAGCTAATCCACAACAATCCTCTACCTGCGCTCTGTGGGAGTGGGCCACCGTAAGAGTGAACACAAACAAGGTCAGAAACTGTTKAACAGAAACTCTGTAACTTTTAGAATACAGTTTGGTGAAACTTTGTCTGTGTTGCAGCTGAGCTTTATGCGTGTTGCTTTAGCTAACAGTTTGTTTACTGCGGAACCCGCGAGGGGACACAGGGAGATTTTTTTTTCTTTTGCGTTCCCACGCAATAGTATTGCGTTACTTCGCAATACTTTTGCGTTACCTCGCAAAATTGTTTTGCATTCCCACGCAAAAGATTGATTTGTATACGAACTGCATTAAATCAGACTTTTATTTTGAAATATCCGGTTACCAAAACAGGATGTGTCGCCACGTGTTCGTGAAAGTAATTGACATTGATGTTGCGTGGCTGCACTGTGTTAAATACAGGTGTTGTAAGAAATCCAGTTCCCCTGTGAAAATCTGTCCCCCCCCCTACTGGTTACACCCTCAGAGAGAATCACTGGTCCAACCTTCCCAACACAGGGGGAACAGATTTTCACAGGGGTACTGAATTTTGTACAACACCGGCATATGATATACATACTTCCATGCGTGGCTGTGTGGTATCATTCTGAAGCTGAATTAAAGCAGTAGGCTAACTTGCTAATGGTGAACATGTGAGTTTGTTAATAAACCGGCAGGCACAACACTGATAAAAGAAATTAAATCTCCCATGTCCCCTCGCGGGCTCTGTAGTTTTCACAATCACCAGCATGTAAAGAATTTTAAACCGAGCATTAAGTTAAAAGTGAGTGTAGCTTTAAGAGTTTTTATTGAAGTTGTGTGCGTTCTCTATAGTCCAAAGGTCCTCCTGGTGCATGAATCATTGTAAATGATTTGACAGAATCGGTGCAAACACATTCCCTCCTGTCTGCTTAGAGCTGATAAACACTCAACTTGCCTTTTCCCGTGTCTCGTTGCAGCTCCTGGATCGTGGGTCTCGGATCAGTCGGTCATGTCAGCATTAAGTGGAAAGGTCCAGACTGTCCTGGGCCTGGTCGATCCAGACTTGCTGGGCCGCACCATGACCCACGAGCACCTGACCATGAGCTTCGAGTTCAACTACACCCCACCTGCGCCTGGTGACGAGGCGGTGGCGGAGAACCCCTTCCAGATGCAGCACATGCACTGGCTCAGGCAGAACCCCTACAGCTGCCGCGAGAACCTGCTCCTGCAGCAGGAGGCCAAGACCTTGGGGGACGAGCTGCTGGCCTTTAAGAAGGCAGGTGGGGGCACGATAGTGGAGAACACCACGACGGGGATCGACCGGGACCTGCCTGCCCTCCGGCAGCTGGCCAAGGACACGGGGATCCACATCATAGCTGGAGCGGGGTTCTATGTGGACTGCACCCACACCGAGGCCACCAGGAGAATGAGTGTGGARAAGGTCGTTAGAAAAGTTGAATCTTTTAGCTGTTTGTGCATGTCGGCAGTTTTGCTGCCAGCGCCTAAGATTAATATTGTTGTTCTGATGTTTTGATCAATCTCACTTTCTCTCAACACTTTGTGTTAATATGCAAGAATTTTCTCTGTAACTTTGGATTGATTTGAACGGATCTCTGCCCCACTCCGTTCAGTCTTTTCGTATTGACACGCTGACAATGTGCACGCACTCGTGTTATCATTCAAACGCAGCGCTCAGTTCGTGAGCGTCGAGTCTGTTTGCGGAGCGGAGGGAGATCAGAAACTGTCAGTAACGTGTCAGCCGCTTGTCCAAAGAGTGATGGTTTTCATGTTGCGCGCCTCTCTTCTTGTCAGCTCACGGACATCATCGTCGGCGAGGTGCTGCACGGGGCCGACGGCACGGACGTCCGCTGCGGCGTGATCGGCGAGATCGGCACCGGCTGGCCCATCACGGAGAGCGAGACGAAGGTGCTGAGGGCCACGGCCCACGCTCAGGCTCAGCTGGGCTGCCCGGTGATCATCCATCCCGGCAGGAATCCCGCCGCTCCGACCGAGGTGGTTCGGATTCTCCAGGAGGCCGGCGGTGACATAAGCAAAACCGTCATGTCTCACCTGGACAGGTGAGACGTCCGTCAGATAGAGACRCCAAATGAAAGGCATTGAAGGAATGTGCATCACCCGCAGCCTTTCAGGCAACAACAAACTGAAACTTACACTTGTTTTGGTTAAACTTTGAAAATACCGCTATCACGTTTACACTTTGTGGATGACCCTCAGCTACCACCACTCAAACCTTTTATCTCCATGTTTGTAAAACGAAATAGAATTATAGCCATTTTTGTGTTTGCTAAGGTTGAAAACACTGTTCTCTTAATTTGAACCAACTTCAAAAGGTAATTATTTGTAAATGGACACTTAATAATTACTTTCATTAAGATTTACAAAAATCTGCCCAGTGGGTTGTGAGGTATTTTGCTGACAAAAAGACAGAGTTGAYTCTAGTTAATGGCAAAACTTAGAGTATGCATTGAGAATCACATTCAGCTTATACCCCACCAAAGTTTAGCTCAAGATTTATAAAATTGACTGGCTTATATCTATTTAATTTATTTATTTATTTGTTTTGAGGTCGGTCGAATCAGGTTGACTCCAAAAGTTAATCAGTTGTAGGTGGACATCCAGTGATTACTTCCTGAGAGTTTCATTAACATTCATGAGAGGTTTTTTTGTAACAAAGTCACACACACACCGGCAAAAACATCATCTTTTWACTTTGCCTTTTGAGCRGCAGGCATTAAAAAGAAAGCCCTCYMATTTTTACTCTCAAACCAATGTTTWATTTGTTTTTACTATAAAGGTGTAAAAAGAGTTATTTATTGTGATAAATGTAATTACTGAATGAYTAAAATGGCTCGTTTACTGTCACACAAGTGTGAAAAGTGGAAGGTTTTACTCAGTAAACTGTAAGATTGGTAAACAGCTTCTGTGCTACAAACTTTAACACTGTAATTATCTGTAGTAAACAGATTTTATTTGGTCAATAATTTATACTGGTTGTTTTGCCAATGTCACATTTTCTTCGAAGCTTCTAGAAGGTTTAACGTGAATAAAAAGGATTCTAGTGGGGGTTATTACGACCCCCGCAAGCAAAGAGTAAGCGGGAGTCATAGCTTTCGTACTGTTTGTTTATTTATTTATTTATTTTTCAGTGATTTTTGGTCAACCATAGCACAAAAACGGCTGCACCGGTTAACATGAAATTTGGCAGGACTGTAGATGAGTCCGACCTACAC